GTTTTATCTCGGAATATTATAATTTGCAATGATATTATAATGAGTTTTATCTATCAGTTTTTAAGTTTTGATAACTCAGTAAACGTGTTTTTAATGAAGGATGGTTATAATAAACATCAAATCAAATTTATATAAATTTATTCAAAATGATAATATTCAATCAGTTTAACAAAAAATTATAATTGGTGTCAAAATGAGCTAACAACTCAACCGTGTGTTGTGAAATGACCTCACGACCACACAAGGCCCAATGGATAGGAAGTGCTAGCTCAACGGTGTGGGTTGACATAACCTCATGAGTACGTGAGATCCATTAATTGAGTTTATAACATCCCTTGTCGCTAATGATAGAGTTTAACCGGATCCAACTAAGTAGATATATTATTTGAACTCAATTCATACGAGATTCGCACAAAACGTGAAAATTAGGGGTATCATACCTCTCCCACCCAAATAGGAGTATGTTACCTTGTTAAAATTAATCTAAATGTAAATTTCTTCCCTTGTGTAGGGTCCATTCTTTTTGGATTAATTGCCTTTCATACTTGAAAAAGCCCACGTAAATAATCTCAAGGTTTGGTCCCAAAAACTTAAAATAAGCATATCAAATTATCAATGGGCTCATCCAAAAAAAATTCTAAGTTAATTGCGGTCCACAAGTTCTTGACCCACTAGCCCAAAGGATGCAGTCAAGAAATTCTTCAAGCCCAAGTAGAGGCAACATTTACCTTTGAAATATGGATGACTTGCAATGTAAGAGAAGTATCTAAACCAATGACTTCCAATTCTTAAAAACCTAAATTCTTTGCCAATAATTCATTCCAATTTGTCAATTTTTTGAAAGTAGATTATTCTTGATTTTGAGTTAATATGTGTTAGGGCCAAAAATCGTCTTGAGCTTGACGATGCCTAATAACGAAATAAACATGTCACAGCCCAAGGCCTCAACCCAATCCCGATTGGGTCTACGCTTAAAATCACCTTGCGACCTACCTACTCTATGAGTTAGGTTATCTTATAAATTAAGCTAAACTGGGTTTCAGTTCATTAGCCTACAGCAGTCTATAAATAGGAAATCAGAGTCCTATTCTATTTCCTCTTCTACTAAGAGTCCAAATCTTACTCAAACTATTAAACTTGATTTGATAAGGTCAAGAAATCATATATCTTTCATGATAGGGATTATCTCCCAAAATAGGACTTTGTGTCCTACTAAGATTCTAAACCTTATTTAAATTAGTAAGCTTAATCTGATAAGGTCAAGAAATCATAATTCTTTTTTAACAGGGCTATCTCCCAAAAAAGAGGACTCAATTTCCTACTAGGATTCCAATCCCTTGGGTTCACTATAAAAACAGAGGTTTGCCCTCTCATTAGGCATGCAATCTCCCATAGTCAATCTACACTACTCAAAATCATCTATTTGCTCCTAAAGTTCTTGCTCCCAAGAACCCAACACCTCCGTTGTAGTCCTAGCTTCTTACAAGACTCCTGGTAATTCTTCATCTTCTTAATTCTTATCAAATAATCTCTTTCAGCTTTGCTGACTTGAGCGTCGGAGTGCCTACGGTAAACACCACCTCGGTATTTTCCGGAAGCTTTACGCTTGCCCTTTCATGTGTGCAGGTCTAGCGGATTGTCAGTGGCCTCAACCTCACGGGATCAGGCCCTATTTTCATTACGGTAGATTTTTTGCATCTACAATATGTCATTAAACCTGATTTATTAGGGATGATAATTTAGCTAACGAGACAAGCCCAAGTATTAACATTTTCACGGTTATGATACAAGTCGATCATTTTTACATGTAGATTAGTCTATATTTATTGTTTGAGCTACATAGATTTGTGCTAAATTTAAAAAAACAATTATAATTGGTGTCAAAATGAGCAACAACTCAACCGTGTAGTGTGAAATGACCTCACGACCACACAAGGCCCAATGGATAGGAAGTGCTAGCTCAACGGTTTGGGGTTGACATAACATGCATGAGTACTGGATCCATTAGATGGAAGTTTATAACATCCCTTGTCGCAATGAATAGAGTTAACCCGGATCCAATAAGTAGATATTATTTATTTTTTGACTCAATTCATACGGGATTGAACAAACTGAAAATTAGGGGTATCATTACCTCTCCCACCAAAATAGGAGTTGTTACTTGTTAAATGAATCAAATTAGTAAATTTCTTCCCAGATAATATGAAATTTTGGCCAAAAAATCTTGAAGTATATGGTTTTATTTTTTATTTTTTATTTTTACATTTTTGTACAAACATAGTCTAATCTTATCCATGGTACGTTGAATCAAATCGGTACAAATGTCTTTGAGGACATGGCACTAATATGGCAGCTTTTTTCACATCCCATTCAATGAAACATCAATTTTAGTTTTAATTTAGACAGAGGACATGTACCCACCACATGTGTGGACACCCTTCGAAGGTGAGGCCGTTTTATCTTCGGAATATTATAATTTGCAATGATATTATAAATGAGTTTTATCTATCAGTTTTTAAGTTTTGATAACTCAGTAAACGTGTTTTTAATGAAGGATGGTTATATAAAACATCAAATCAAATTTATATAAATTATATTCAAAATTGATAATATTCAATCAGTTTAACAAAACAATTATAATTGGTGTCAAAATGAGTTAACAACTCAATCGTGTAGTGTGAAATAACCTCATGACCACACAAGGCCCATTGGATAGGAAGTGCTAGCTCAACGGTGTGGTGTGACATAGTTAGATCCATCAGATGGGAAGTGCTCGCTCAACAGTGTGGGTTGACATAACCTCATGAGTACATGAGATCTCTGTTTTAAAAACCGGACCAGACCGGTCGGTAGGACCGGTTGGACCGGGAACCGGTAGCTTCTCCGGTCCGGTTTAGGTCTCAGGGGGGTTTTTGAAATATTTTAAAATTATGAGGGTTACTTTGTAATTTTATAGGGGTATTTTGAAGATATATCAAAAGTTTAGGGATTACTTGGTGATTTTATTGGGGTATTTTTGGAATAAATAAAAATTTTAGGGACCAATTAAACTTTTTAGGAGAATTTTTGGAATATATTGAAATTTAAGGGGTTAATGTATAATTTTTTAAAAATAAAATATTGCTGACTTCATCGGTCCAACCGACCGGTCCAACCGGTTGGACCGATTGAACCGTGACCCGGACAGCAAAACGGTTTGCCCTCCGGTCCGGGTTTTAAAACAATGCATGAGATCCATTAGATTGGAAGTTTATAACATCCCTTGTCGCCAATGAATAAGAGTCTAACCCGGATCCAATTAAGTAGATATTATTTATTTTGGACTCAATTCATACGGGATTGAAACATGAAAATTAGGGGTATCATTACCCCTCTCACCCAAAATAGGAGTTCTGTTACGTTGTTAAAATTAATCTAAATTTCTTCCGTTGTGTATGGTCCATTCTTTTTGGGTTAATTGCCTTTCATACTTGAAATAGCCCAAGTATATAAGTCTCAAAGTTGGGCCCAAAAACTTAAAATAAGCATATCAAATTATCAATGGGCTCATCCAAAAAAATTTCTAAGTTAATTGCGGTCCACAAGTTCTTGACCCACTAGCCCAAAGGATGCAGTCAAGAAATTTTTCAAGCCCAAGTAGAGGCAACATTTAAACCTTTGAAATATGGATGACTTGCAATGTAAGAGAAGTATCTAAACCAATGACTTCCAATTCTTAAAAACCTACATTTTTTGCCAATAATTCATTCCAATTTGTCAATTTTTTTGGGATTCAAAAGTAGATTATTCTTGGTTTTGAGTTAATATGTCATTAAACCTAATTTATCGGGGATGATAACTTAGCTAATGAGACAAGCCTAGGTATTAACATTTTCACGGTTATGATACAAGTCGATCATTTTTACATGTAGATTAGTCTATATTTATTGTTTGAGCTACATAGATTTGTGCTAAATCTAAACCCTTGGCTGATGTTTATTTTGTGAATGAAGAAGGAATAAAAATTAGAAGGAGGATATAAATTTCAAAGGAATAAAAATTCATGAGTATTTATTGTACTTGTGATTGATGTTGGTTAAACCCATATGTGGATAGTCCAGATGGTTAAGGCGAATTGAAGATAGTATGAATAGACGTATGATCTTATGTTCGATTTCCCATTTGAGGGGTCTATTGAAAATTTATTACAAATTAACAGAAAAATAGCAAGAAAAATCCAACAGTAAAACAGTGGAAGAACAACAACAAAACAGCAAGAAACCACCAGCAAAACCGCAATGATACAATAGTGAAACAGCAACAAAACAACAACGTCAAGGCATGTAAAAGCACTATCCTTAAAATTAGAATTCCGCCCCTACAGGAAAAATCTTGGTTGTGTAAAAAGGCTCAACAGCAGAATGACCTCCAGGATACAGTGACGAACCTCCTTTTAGAGTGCATACTCTAACAGAGGTTTGGAACATCATAAGGAAATGTAATAGTGGCGAAGGAGAGTTGGAAAGTTAATAAAATCAGAAGAAATAAGGATTATTTCAAGTGCAAATTGTATATCTCTAATGAGAAACACACCCCTTTTTTATACTTGAATTCAATTTACTCTTTTAATAACATAACAGTCCAAGAATTCTATCACTTTTAGAACATAATAGTTCAAAAAACAATTAAAATTTGTATTTTGAAATACCATAATTACCAGCTATTATCACAAGGCCGTGTAGTTAGGTTATTGAGTTAATTTTTCTAAAAAATTAGTCAAGATATGCGTAAAACTGACCCATGCCTTGGTTTAAAAAAAGAAAAAGATGTTCAATAATGTCATGTTTGATTTGAAACCACTACTAAATAAATTATAAAAAATTTAACTTTACCATAATCTTTTAATGAAAAAACAAAAAATAAAATAAAACATAATACGTCACGAATCTAAATCCCAGTTGGGTATCACGCTATCCTTTGGCTTTACCTATAATAAACAAACTCTATTTCGTTATAAGAAACACTTTTTAAATGATTAGTTCAATGTAAGCATAAACCAAACAAGTCCTTACCCCGACACGAAAACTAATTATTGTTTTTGTTTCGTTTCCTGATTCTGTGTTGGCGCATTTTGGCTCTGGATTTCAATGGATGAAGGGTTCACAACGATTGACGGGTCGTCAAGCGATGGATTGGGCTCATTACAGCCGTCCATTATCCCCTCAAACGTCCCTTTACTGTCCGCTTTTCTCGCCTTTTCTCTCGCCCAGTTCCTCAAGCTCTTCACCACCTGGTATATGTATTTTGTTCTCTGCTCTCCCTTCTTTACTCTTCTGTTTGGTTGCCAAGAAAACGCAGGGAAGGATTTTTCTCTTTGGAATTGGTTATTATTTTTTTTTTTCCAATGGTATTGTGTTATTGGGAGTTGAATATTCCTAAATATTATGATTTTACATGTTACAAATATGACATTATTGTAGCTAAAAGCTGTTTATGAGAGGAATTGTGCTGGAATTTAACTTCAACTTTCCCTGAACGCATACATGGTGAACTGTAAACAAATGCTGACTTTGGTTAAGTTCTATTTGTGTCAGGCAAATCCTAAACTTAAATGGTATTTATGTTGTGGGGTCTGCATATTTAGCACGAGTTTGACTCTTAAGGTGTGGAATCCGAAGTCATGGGAGATAGGCTAAGGGGAATTTTATTGGTTATAAAAAGAGGAAAAAGAGTCTCAAAATTTTGTCTACTTAAGGATTTCCTTTATGGGAGTATGCACATTAATTTGTATGTTGTAGCTTTGTGTGAGTAGTTTTGTTTTGGTATGCTAATTAATGGTTTTTGGTGAATTTTTTTTTGAGGTGCGTGTGTGTGTTGGGTGGTAGTGTTTAATGTTTTTTTGATTGATTTTGAACCTTATGTATGTCATGTTTGCAATTGCGATTTGAACAGCCACTTGAGTAGTACTAAAAGAAAGCTCCNATAATTTTTTTTTTTCTTAAAAATATTTTCTTTTAATTTTCTTAATTGATTAAAAATCATAAATTATGAATTTTTATTGGATTTAATATATGAGTTTGAAATTGAAAAATTAAATTCTAAGATTTTAATGTAGATTTTGATTTAATATTATTTATGTTGAGGTATAAGTTAATTAATTGTTATTTTAAGTTGGATTTGATTTTAAAGAATTGAAAAAACTCTAGAGATTTAAGGATTTCTTTAATTTTAATATATTGGTTAATTGTTTGATATTTAAAGTTGGATTTCGTGAGTTTTCATGTGTTAATGAGTTGAATTTCAATTAATCAGCAAAATTGTTTAAAAAACCTAAGTTATAATATTTGGAACCGCAGTTTATAGTTGATGTTTTGGTCCCATTGACTACAAATCTTGTCTATGTTTATGCCTAACACATTGGACTCAAGCTAGACTAAACACGCCGTTTACTTAAAAAAAAAAAGAGTAGACATTATTTTATAATCGATATAGTTATTTTATTTCATCGGCATTTGACATGCTGTTCTAATATATATATATATATAGGCTAAAGATTATTTTAATGGAATAATCTAAAAATAAAAAAAATAAAGAGAATCTAAGGGTGCGTTTGGTTTATTATTTTGGATAGGATTTTGGGGATAGTATTAGGTTGTTGGATATGGGAGTATTACGAGATAAATTTTAAAAATTTCTGTAAAAGCCCTTAGGTTTACTAATTTAATTAAAGACCCTAATATGTAAAATGATAAAAACACCCCCAGAATTTTTCGTGCCAGATTCCGGCCACCACCGTCGGAATCTGGGCGGAAAATTTCGTTACGGCACAGACCGGTCGGATCTGTGCCGTAACACGTCGTTATGGCCTTTTTCGGCCAGATCTACGGTCTGTTATGGCCGTCGACGGCCGGAAAAGGCCAAACGACGGCCATCTTTGGCCGTCAGCGACGTCATTTTCGACCAACGACGGCCTTTTCTTTGATCGTGGCTGACGGCCAGATCTGGCCTTTTCTGGCCAGATCCGTGGTGGATCTGGCCGGAAAAGGCCACATCGGTGAACTTCCGACCATTTCTGGTCGGAAGTTAGGCCGTTGTACAGATTCCGGCTATCACCGACGGTGGTTGCCGGAATCTGGCAAGTTGGGTTGATGGGGGTGTTTTTGTTAATTTTTAAACTTTTTTTAGGGGGTATTTAGTGAAATTAATAATCTTATGGGGTCTAAAAGTAATTATAAAAAATAGGGTAATATTTCTGGAATAATGTGTCAAACATTATTTGGAGAATAGCATCCAGAATATGGATAAAAATACTAAGCCAAACATAACCTAAATGTTACTGTAAAAAAGATTTGATCCTAATATTTTATATAACCCACTAAATTAAATAATAACTGTTATATGGACAGGTCAATTATTTTAATTAGAGGTGAATATAATGTAATATTCGCTCTTATCCAATATAAATATGAATTTTAGTTTATCATTAAGCTTCCAACGAATTACTTTATAATCAAATGAAAGATTCCGAACCTATTCAAATCTCGACAACTTTAGTTTAATTTTATAATTAAAACATTGATTAGTGAACTATATATAACTTGTTTAATATTTTTATACATCTTTAATGCATCGAATTTTTTAATTCAATCTTAAATAAATGAATCATGGTATGCTACAAAAGTTGAAAACAATTAATTAAAAAATATGGAAGTTGACATTAAAATATGCGTGCACTTTCCTACAATTTCTTGACCTGAAAGTGGGGCCGGTAGGGTAGAAAATTCCACGATGGGAAATTTCTTAATACAAGCAGCTAGAAATATCCGTAATAACTAATAAGTAGTTGGGTTGGGTTGGGTTGGGTTGGGTTGGGCTGCGATGCCCACGTCTCTAGAAAACGGCTAGGGTACACAGTTTCATCGTGATTTGTGAACTCACATTATTACATGGGGACCACCACATGATATCATATAACTTCATTTTTTTTTTTCCTATTTTGAATAGTATTTTAGTCCGTAAATTAACACGTGGGTTGTTGTGGTTAATTTTGTATTTTGTCAGCGTAAGGACAGTGAATTATAATTATTATTATTTAAATGTTCAATTATATGTTGTTAGGTTTAGATTCGATCCACTAATTTGATATTAGCTTTCGCTTTTACGTAAATGTCTTCATATTTATATATGTACGTTAATGAAAGGATTTATATTTTATCATTAGAAATGTGAAATGTAACATACTTCGCACTACATATGATTAAATGTCATATTATTATATTTTTGATCGTTGATCTTAGTCCACTCATTAGAAAGCTAAAATTGATTATATATATACGATATATCCAAACTAGAGTTTATACCTATTAAATGAATTTGTTTTGGATTTTGTCAGAAACATTATTTAATTAGATACTATAGGTACGCGGATATTGGATATTCCGGTTATAAGAAAAAAAAAAAAAAAAAAAAAAAAAAAGTTGTCGGAGCCGTTCTTTAATGATTAGTGTTTTCATTTGGCGTTTTCTACCTAGAATATGCACAGTTTGCGTTAGTGGGAAGAAAAAATACAGAGGCCACTTGTTATATAAAAAATTGATATTTTAAATAAATAATTATATTTTTCTTTCTACTATATATATATATTTTTTCCCTCTCTCTTTCAAAACAATTTTTGACCTCGAAAAAGTTTTTTAACGTCAAATTACAAACAGAAGGTAACGGTTAATATATTTGAGATAAACCTTCAAAATAACAATATAAATAGATTTAATTGATTGTGAAAGTGATTATTTTATATTTTTCATTATCTTTTTGTTGTTGGTGTTTCATACAAATATATTGAATGTTTTTTATTTTTCATTTTTTTTAATTAATTTGAAAAATACTTAAAATTCCAAAAGAATATACCGGTATTATTTATTTATCTCTTGAGATATGCAATATTACATGACCAATTACTGCATATAAATTTATTGGTTCTTTACGATGTTTGAATTTTTTAAAACGTTTTATCTCATAAAACAATTATTTAATCTATTTAAATAAAGAGAAAATCAATAATATCATAGAGATACAACATCAATCTAATATCAATTATTATACATGTATATGTATTTTATAATTATGTTGTGTATATGCTTTATCCCATTGTAATATGTCGTATCAATACATACGCCGAGCTATTGTGATCGGAAGTACACCATAATTTCATAGATTTTCTCTTAATCTTGATGAGTGCGTTTGCTTGAATATTTAGAGTAATTTTTGAAATATTTATATTTTTTTTGTGATTTTGTTCGTTTCGGATCCATCCAACAAATAGCACGTGGGTGGGAGATTTATAATAAACAAATGGAGGGCTGAGGGCACTGTTAGTGGTGGCTTCAGATTCAATCTCTTGCCGGTAAATTACAATACCGTACAAGGGGATAATGTTACCGTATGTCCACAATTTTTATTTATTTACTTGTGAGAAGTTGAAAAGGGTGGTTGATTTAGATTCGGATCTTTGACTGGATTATTCCCATTACCACTCCTATTTAAAGGAAATCAAACCACTCGTGACTTGACTTGTTGCTGCCTCCTAAATTGTGGTCACATTCTGTTCAATCCTCTTCTTTTCACTAGAGGTTCTTGTTGGTCCAATTGCTTTTTGTGTTTCATAATTTCTAACAAAATATTTTACAATATATATATATATATATATATATATAACGATCTGGACAAAACTCGACCTTAAAGTTCAATCCAGAACGAGAGGATATCCCACTTTATATAAATAAACATTGGACAGAATTCGCTCTTAAAAGTTATCCGAAAGAACGAGAGGGTTAGCCTATTTATCAACCTAGTTACGAAACCTTAACTTAGAGACTACAAGGGTGGTTATAAAAATTTGATCTTTTCAAATTTTTATATTATTATTTAAATACCATGTAGCTAATTGTGTGAATTTTAGGTTACTTAACCACTAATCAATGGGAAAGTCAAAGGTTCACATTGCTCAATTATTTTTGGACCTTCTCCAAGGAGGAGAAAAAACAGTAGCTCTATGGGAGGGTAGATTATAATCAGTACAAAATTTTGTCAATTCAATTGCTATTTTGAAGGGAGGAAAGTTACAAAAGCTATCAACATTGAAATGAAATGATTTATCTTCATCCAAATTTTCACATGAAAGAATTATATGAAATCCAATATAGGACAAAATAGACAATGACAGAGGAACTTTCATAAAAAAGGTATTGATCCCAAACAAAAAAAAAAAAAAAAAAAAAAGAAAAGAACACCCAT